GCTGCCTCATGCACCCAAAGGTGTCACAACAAAGATTCCACGGTAGAGGGGGGCATCTCTTCGGCGACATCCTTCTGCAGAAGACAATATTAAACTACGCATGCACAGCCGCGTTTCACCCCCACCGTCCTGCGTGTACACGGCACCGCTGTTCTCTTCAGAGGATACCTCAACAAGAAATGGTGTGCGGCAAATGACTGATTTGTAATTGCAAATAACATGTTCGACATCACACGCAGGTGGCGCCACCGCGGGTCACTGCGCACTACTGACTGCGTCTACACACGTATGCACCATAACCTGCTACACTGCTGCAAACCAGCGCGCACATGTCGCAGCTCGACAGCGACAGCAGCAGCTGCTGCCGCTGTGCAATGTTCATCCGGTCTGACCAAAACAAAACACATACTCCGTACAAAACAAACACCAAACACGAACGCCACCAGCGTGCAACGCACCTTCAGTTCCACGGGTGGACAGTCTCGACCAGCGACATCTGTGGTCCCGGCTGGGAAGATGGACGCGACCGACTGCATGATCAGCTCGAACAACTCGTACTTCACCCGGAAGGTGCTCTTGAACTGGACCGCTTCTCGACACTTCGGGTCAAGCCCGCCTTCAGAGTTACTCAGCTCTCGCAGTTTCACCAACCACTCCCCCCAGACAGACCCCCAGTAGTCCGGCCGAGGGTATGCGTGCCGGATCTGCTTGGGTTTCTCTTCCTCCTCTTCTTGGTCCTCCTCCAACAACAACCCTCCTGCCACGTCGCTCTCGGTAGCCAGGTCAAGCACCATGCTCTGCAAATTCCGCAAATTCGCCGCTGCAGCGGCAGCTCCGGACAGTGCAGCCATGACAGCGTCATCATCCATCGGCGTGGCCATGGTCGATGCTCCCGTGCGGGTCGGGAGCGTCGTGTGCGCGTGTGTGGCGTGCTTGTGGTGAGGAAGGACGTGTGGCGTGTCCCGGCGCAGGACGCGGCCCGACTTCATATCACGCCGCGTCAAACATTTTTGCGAGCTGGGCAGATGACGAAATGTTTGCCAAACATTTCGTCGAAACAGCGGATTTTTTCCCGAATTGAAATCTTTGGCAACATTTCTTCAAAGATTTCCTTCCATAAAAAGCGTGCAAACAAATGTTGGCGAAACTTTCAACATTTTGTTAAAGATTCTGCTTCCATAAACATCGGTGTAATCAGAAACAAATAAAATAAAATAAAATGCAATGCAAAATCCTGAAGTCAGGTTGGATGGAGACTTGATGTTTCGTGGAGGGCCCCGAGGTATCGACAGAGCCGTTCCCGTACAAGATGTCCCTGTACCGCTGCTGTCGCTCAAACATGCACACGCGATTGTCCAACACACACACAGATCACGGGTATGTACACACAGAGGTGTGATGAGAGCTACAGCACATGTATCTCTCCTGTGACACTCTCTGTGACAGTTCAGGAAGGTCCGCCTTCTCCCCTCCCCACGATAGACACAGACGGTCACAGGACCACCTACCTCTGGGAAGGTCTCCAGGGGACCCACAGGTAGAGTATACCCAGCACTAGATCAAGTGTGGGTCTGCCCACCCGGAGACTTGCACGACTGAGAGAGGAGGACGACCGGCTGGACAGGTCACAGGTGTGGAGCAGGCCCTGGGATTGGCGGCCCCAGTAGTCTATTGCATCAACCCCCTTTCGGAATACCAATCGCGAGACCCCGCTCGTTAGCTCCTTAGCTCTTGTGGGGAGGCAGCAGTCACTGAGGCCCCCTGAGGTTTCTGTGTCTCCCAGTCGCCTTCCATCCTTTCCCGCGGCGGCAGCGGCGGCGGGAGCCATGAAACGACAACGTGCTCCACAGCAGCGTCTCTCCTCCATAGGAAGAGCACTGGCAGCAAGTGTTTCTTTTGGAGCCTTCTGCCTTCGGGTAAAGTCGACCGCTGCAGCAGCAGCGGAGGCACTGCTACTAGCGGACGAACCCTTAACGTTGACGGAGGGAAGCGGTTTGTACTGGGTCAAGGCCGCAGATACGCGGGAGGGGCACGCGGCGGCTTGCCTCAGGAATGGGCTTGACCCCACGCCGCCAGATATTTTCCTACCAGATCAGGTACCTGCAATAAAATGTGTCCAGCAGACTAGGCTATGCATATGAGGTGCAGCAGACTATATACTGCTGTACTGAACACGAGCACGTGCAACGGGGTGTAATCAGAATGGAGAGCCAAAGCGTTGTCGTAACAATCGCCAACCATAACATCGCTGCAGCTTGAGCTCTCGCAGTGTGAATAAAGTTGGCTGCTGGTAGTCACGTGAAGTGAGGACTTGAAAATATTAGCGTGACTACAAGCAGAACATGCAGGTCTAGTCTTGACTGTACGAAAAAATGTGGTATCCAGTCTACAGTAGCACCTACTGCTGTGCCTGGTATCCCTACGGCTGCTAGCATGGGTGGTCAATGAAACTCGCCCTCTTCTCTCTCGGTTCTCTGGCCCAACGTTTGATGGGACCGGGATTGGGTATTATTTCCGTGTCGTTACGTGCAGTGCAGCTTTCAATTTTTTCGGATTTTGCACCAGCGGAAGTGATGAGCACACCCGAAATGGGTTAAGCGAACAAGTGTTGGAGCTTACGGGTGTTGCAGACTACCTTATATGACACAAGATAACACACCCCCTGGACCGATTTTCAAAGCTCGATTACTCCACGACGAAGAGGATGCATAAACGAACCGATAGATTGTCGAAAAGCTCTCGGCGAGACGATTTCAACGCCGCTGGTTTCGGCGCTGTGGCTGTTTCTGCAGTTGAGAAATCGAGCTTCGAAAATTGGTCAAGGGGGTATGTTCTCTCGTGTCATATACGGTAGTCTACAGTAGAAAGCCATGCTGTTACGACGGCAGACATGACCGATAACCCATCTCTCGAACGCCGCACCTTCGACGAGGAGTATGGAAATCATCCAAGTAATAGCCCGAATACTCCTTAAGTAAGCATCGGGAAACAACATGACAGCAGCAGCTTTACCGAACCCGCATCGATTCTGGAGAAATGTGGGTGCCAGTGCGACACAAAAAGGCATAGACTGGTTTGGTGTGTTGTTGATGTAATCGGTGTGGAGTGAATGCGAGTGTGGCATCATAACTCGCTTCGCTCGAAGGCACTTAACGGGATTTCGGGCGTGGTGCAGTGTGCGGTCCCAGTGTGGGTCGACTCGCTTCGCTCGAAGGCACTTCACGGGGTTTCGGGCGTGGTGCAACTGCACTTGCCGTAGGTTGGTTTTGTGTGCGCCTATCTATGATGTGTGGTCATACTTATCCATACACAAGCTTAGAGGAGAGGGGTGACATTTGGACAGGTGCTACTACTTACTGCTGCATAGCTGCTACGCTACCATGTTGGCTCCTGGCAGTGCGTGGGTCCTTTAATCCGTTCCATGCTAGAGCTGACGTAGGAAGCGTCTGTGGTGGATGACACCACAGCAGTAATAAATAGCCATGCAGGCGAGCAGGCTGGTGGCTGTTGTGGAAACAGGCTGGTGGCTGTTGTGGAAGCAGGCTGTTGGCTGTTGTGGAAGCAGGCTGGTGGCTGTTGTGGAAGCAGGCTGGTGGCTGTTGTGGAAGCAGGCTGTTTTGTGTCTTGCTGCTGCTGTGTTGCCTGCTGCTGCTGCTGAAGTGTTGTATAGGCGTTTAGGTTTCCGGGGACGCACCTCCCGCAGCCCAGGTCACAAAGAAGCGACATATATGCCCGACGGTGTTGCCGCCCCCCCCCCGCTTGTAGGTTTTTCAAGTCCGGGGTATGCAGTTGTGCTGTGTCCCAGCAGCAGCTTGATTCAGTCGAACAAGCCCGAGTCGAGAGTCGAGAGACACAACGTGAATTCGAGCAGAAATAGAGACAGAGAGAGATACGCGCAGGAAGTGCTATGATGACGATGCCATATGCTTTGTGTGCGTCCGTGATGTGTGGTTGTACCTGTCCATGTACACGCTTGGAGGAGCGGGTAGATCCACGTTGCTCTCTGTGGTTCCTACCCGAAGCACACAGCCATCACACAGCTGCTACGAACCTACACTGCTTGGTGGCTGGCAATCCGTTCTGTGCCAGCTCATGGCAGTAGCAACCGTCTGTGTTACAACAGTAGTAGCCTGCAGCCGAGCAGCCAGGCAGCAGCCTGGCGGCTGTTGTGTGTTTATGATGGCTGCTGTTGTGTGTTTATGATGGCTGCTGTGTTGCTAGCTTGTTGTGTTGGCTGCTGCTGCTGATTTGTTGTACAGGCGTTGTGGTTTCCGGGGGCGCACCTCCCGCAGCCCATGTCACAAAGAAGCTACATATATGTCCGTAGGTATTCCCCCCCCCGCCCCCCCGCCCCCCCCTCGGTGTTTGCCATCGGGATTGGGTTTTCGTCGCTTGGCAACCACGTTGTGAAACGAGCCAATTCACCTCGTGAACTC